CAGAAGACCAACCGGCCTGAGAGTGGCACCATCATTGGCTTGCTAACAACCATAGTAGAAAAGACCAGGATAAAACCTAGGATTTGGTGACAAACATTGTTCTTTAATATAATGTAACACTGTGGCAAGAAGTTGAATAATTTTTATTTAAATTCAATACTATATTTAAACATTTATTTTTCTGTTTTTTTATATTTTAACAAACATGTGTTAATTTAACTGTGTATTGATTCTTCTTTTTACTTGTTTGTGTGTGTTGCTCCAGAGTAGCCCATATTCACGTCCTGAGTGAGCTAGCCAGGGAGTGTTTTGCACAACGTCTAATGTAGCAATTTTGCAATTGATACATTAGTGGTTATGGCGTTAAAAATTGGTCCCAACAGAAACGATTTGTTGCTCCAACGTTGTTAGTGATGTTAGTCAGGTTGTAGCAGCAAACTAAGGTTTGCGGTTGACAACAGATTAAGTTGACAACAGCAGCTCAATGTTGGGATGTTACAAATTGAGCCTCGAAAGGTTACAAATTGGCATCCAATGAATATTCGTTGGCATGTCATAGATTGACGTCCAATGAATGTTCGTTGGAACGTCAGAACTTTAGAATGTTAGAACTGAGAGTAAGAGCACTGAGATTCTACGTGTTTTCGATACTGCAATATGGACTTGAAAGCTGTACATAGAAGCAAGATCATATACAGAAGTTATAGTCCTTTGAAATGTGGTGTTACAGGAGGATGCTTAGAATAGCATGAATACAGAAGAAAACTAACACGGAAGTATTGCGAGAAATAGACAAAGAATGCGAAATAATAAACAAAATACAAATAAGAAAGTTACAATATCTGGGACACGTAATATGGGGACAGCGATATGCTCTGCTAAGGCTGATAATACAGGGAAAGATATAAGAAGGAAGCAGAATAGGAAAAAGGAGAGTGTCATAGTTGAAAAATTTATGGGAATAGTTTAAATGCAGTTCTATAGAACTCTTCAGAGTAGCAGTAGATAGAGTAAAGATAGTGATAATGATATCCAACCTCCAATTGGGAGACGGCACTTAAAGAAGAAGAAGATGTCATCACATTCATTAAATCCTACTGTGTCGCAAACGAAAAGAATTTTCTGACTATGCCCTGCATAATATTATAATAGATGTGCTTTTTTGGCCTGACACCATATTTTAATTTTTTTACTCCATCATACTTGTTAAATCATAAAGTGTCGCAACTGAAAAGAATTTTCTGGCTACAACTTGTGTACCAACTTCTCTGCCCGCATACCTGTTTACGTCAGCTACCAGATATAGGTTTTTTCATCACAAAATAGTGTCAGCCATGTTTTTCGTACAGTTTTTTTTATAAAAAACAGGTTAAGTTAGTAATACAAATAGTAACAATAGAGTGCATGTGAACGCATAATTAAAATAAAAGATACCAAACAAAGTCTAATTATTAAAAAAAAAACAAAACTACGAGAATAAAAAAAAGTACCTGAATTTGCAAATCAATTCTTTTAACTAATACTTATTATGATATCTTTTTATGAAGATACTAAGAAGAATAATAGGCGCATTCTGTGAGAATGGTATTTGGAGAAGGCGATATAATTTCGAATTGTATGAGAAGTATAAAAAAATAGTAAATGGTAGAGATGTAATATCCTTCATAAAAATAGGTAGGCTTAGATGGGCTGGACATGTGTCAAGAGCAAATGAAAATTACCCACCCAGACGAACTCTATTATCGGTCCCAGTGGGAAATAGGAGTAGAGGCAGACCACGACTGAGATGGAGGGACGGTGTGCACGAGGACGCAAGGAAAATCGGCGCGGCAAATTGGCAACGGTTGGCGATGAACAGAAACGACTGGCGAAATAGACTGGGGAAGGTCAAGGCTCAACTAGAGCTGTAGCACCACTGATGATGATGATGATGATATCTTTTTATATGCTGTTAGTACTAAAGAGGCTTTGTTCTTACTTCAACTCTTATTATAGAGATGCAGAGACGTCAACTGCGACGTATACGGACGTCTGGTTGATTACGAGAAAGCGTTTGATCGACTATAGCACGCCAAGATTATGCAAATACTAAAAGAAACAGGAATAAACAATCAAGATCTAAAAATAATTAGAAATCTTAACTGGAATCAGACAGCAAATCTCAGAGTTAAAGCCGAACACGCTGACTATGTGAAAATCATGCGTGAAGTGAGGCAAGAGTGTATTTTGCCTGCTCTAATCTTCAATCCCTACTCCAAAACAATATTTATCCAAGCTTTGCACGAAACTGAAAAAGGTATTTTACTAAATGGTTGCCGGCTAAACAACATCAGATATACAGATGACACCACAGTATTTTCAGATGACACCACATAATATTCAGACAACTTAGAAGACCCTACAAAGTCTTATAAACAAAATCACGTATTACACTCAATAATATGGACTCAATATAAATGTTAAGATGACAAAGCTTATGATAATTAGCAAGAACAGGATATCAGAAGGTCAACTATATGTCAACCAATCTCCTGTAGAAAGAGTGACGCACTACAACTACCTCCTCACCACAATAAATGAAGAATGGATCAACAACCAGGAGATTAAAGCACGCATCGGAAAAGCTAGATGCACATTTAATCAGATAGGGGCCTTCTTCACGAGTCAAAACCTCTCTTTTGATGCAAAAGTAAAAATGCTGCGATGCTACGTCTTTTCTGTCTTTTTTTATGGTGTTGAATCCGGTACCTTGAACAAAGATATGTGCAGAAACTGGAAGCATTTGAGATGTGGCTATATCTGAGAATGCTTAAGATCCCGTAGACTAACCCAATCACACATGAGGAGGTCCTCAGAAGAATGAATAAGAACCGAGAGGTACTGACCACTATTAAATCTCGAGAGTTACAGTTCTTCGGACGTATTATGCGAAATGAATTCAGATATGCTCTCCTTCAAGCCATTTTGCAAGGAAAAATATTTGGAAAGCGGGATCTAGGAAGAAGAAGAACATCTTGATTAAAGAACCTCAGAATCTGGTTCAATACAACATCTGTGCAGCTTTTCCGCGCTGCTGAAGCTGAAGATAAAGATTGCTATGATGATAGCCAATATTCGTAATGAATAGGCACATCAAGAAGAATGATATCTGTACGAAATTGAACAAAAAAGTCGTCATAAAGTATGTAAGAATGATACTCACTATAAATTATTTAAGAAAAATACATTATTTTAAAAATTTTTCTTAAAGCCTTATTTCTTTATAAATAAGTTCATGCTATACCTACAATATTTTATTTCTATTAATACCAACGAATATAGACGCATATGAGTCTACATTCTCTAATACTAAGTTCTCAGCCATTATTGATTAATACCAATGACGTATGACGTATTACATATAATATACGTCATTGCATGTGCTCGTCATATGATAAAAAGTCCAATTCAGTTGACAAATGGTTTCGGTTTTAGTTAAGGTTTGTGTTTTGACTATGCTCGGCCGATAATGCAGGTGCAATGCTTGTCGACATTGACGACAGGTCTGTCTGGCTGTCTCTTTCAAGTGACCCATACATCACTACTCTTCTTTCATCTACCCTGGAGTATAATCATCCCTCAGGTGTGACCATTCGTTTCTGTTGGTTGGGATGAACATTTCGTTTGATTTCAGTATTAAAAATGATCTCTAAACTTTTTAAGGTATGTCTTACTCCATACATGCTCATTTTCAATTCCGTCGTTTATCTAGAGCATTATTATTTTGTATGTTTCCTACTCCTTCTTTAGTCATTTCAGGTATATCTTCACTAACTGCTTTTGTTATTCGATGTGGTCTTTTACCCATTTTCCTCTACCAATCTCCAAAAAACAAATCACCCAGAATAAATAATATCCAATTTCCGAAGTGAAAATTGAAACGTCAATAAACTTACTTTAACCTTTAATTATGGCTTGTTCTCATTAAATAGTAATTACTTTAAAATGCCACAAAAAAATTGCTTAAGAACAACTTTACAATGAGCCTGCATTCGTTTCTTTTTCTCTTCGTTTCGTCTTCTTCAGCGGTATTTAATATTTTTGATATAGGCCTGTCTCATTGCTCTTTATGTTTATCTATTCTGCACTAGCTCGTACCAATTCTGTCTCAATAGTTAGTTTTAATTGATTTTAATCTTGCTAATTTTTAAATTTATTTATCATCGAAAACGCCTTAAGAGCGTAGGCGCAAAATTTCGGGCAAATGCTTTTTAAATGCATTAATTTTTTTCGAATCCTAAGAAAACTAACAAATATTTTTGAAAAATTTAAACGCAGAATCAAAGATTACATTATTACCGAGGGCCAAAAGTCCCTTAGAATACACAAAAAGTTTTTTTAAATAAGATATTTGAAATTAAAAATCACACTAAGTTTTTTCTTTAGTTTCACCCCTGTAACTTATTAAAATAAACATTATAGAAGTTTTCAGGGACTTTCGGCCCTCGGTAATAATGTATTCTTTTATTCTACGTTTAAATTTTTTAAAAATATTTATTAGTTTTCTTAGCATTCGAAAAAGATAAATGCATTTAAAAAGCATTGGCCCAAAATTTTGCGCCTAAGCTCTTAATAAACGAAGATGCTGTCTTTTAAAATCCAGCTTTCCCAAGTCCTTTGTTAACATTTCTAAGTCTTCTCTTATATACTCTTAAATTAAATACTCTTCTAAGAGTATTTATAATGTTTACCGTTGAGCTGCATTTCTACATTGTACTCTCAAGAAGGCAAGTATTAAGTATATAAAATGTAATCTAAACTGAGTAAATATTTGTTAAAAAATCTAAAATGTTTAATAAAAAATGGATCTATGGTTCATTCAAGTGCATTTTATTCAGTTTCTTTGCCTAATAATTTAATCTTAATGAATTTGTAATATACTTTCAACAATAAATCTTACTCTAGCATCTACTAAGCAAAAATCTGAAGCAAGGAAGGACAAGCACCTTCTGTCCACTGACCGTTTCCGTTGTCTTGAACGCTGACAGCCAGTTGACCCGTATACGCATTGAATGTGGATGTCATACCGTTGTTACCCATGGTGGGAGACCGCGGCGCCGACAATGATAATTGATTGTTTCGAGGCATGGAGTAAAGCGCCTCCGCTAAGTCTGCTGCTCTCTTGAGGATGATTTCCTATAACAAAAGAACATACATATTTTATATTTATTAAAAGACATAAAGACATAAAATAAATCAAATGAAAATAGAAGCAGCGAATATTGACCTGTGCGCTTGAAGATTCGAAAAGAAAGAAGACATTATGGAATGTAGCACAATCTGCAAATGTAGATAAGTTGGAGAGATCGCAACATATAAGTGTGATGTGTTGACAATAAAAAGAGAAAATAAGGTTTTGTATCACCAAACAGAATCAACAAATCAGGTTTAAGGACTAATAGGGAGGCTAATCTGCGATATTATTTTTTTGTCGCTAATAGTACTAGTAGTAGACTCTATGAATAAAAGAGAAATGTTTAAAGCAATGAAAGAGCTAGGAATACCAAATCAAATGGTAAATTTAACAAAACTAACTCGAAAAAGTTAAATGTAGAGACGATTGCATCTGAACCTTTTAAAACAAATAACGGGCTGTGCCAGGAGACCCTCTCTTCTGTATACTGTTTAATCTGGCTTTGAAAAATATAATACGTATGTCACAAATCACAACCACTGGTTCAATATGTAATAAATCAGTGCAAATTCTTGACTATGATGATCATATCAATATTGTTGTGAGAATTGTGTATGTAGCATTAAAATAATGAGCTACAAAAATGGTTTTAATAATAGACACCAACCAAAAAAAAATATAAAATAAGCACGAAACCACAAATCCTACGATCACTTGCTATAGAAAACGACGTCATCGAAGCAGTGAACGAATTTTTATACCTGGGAGCGCTCGTTAACATTGAAAATAATTATAAACCAGAGATAAACTGCAGAAGTTACACGGCCAACAGAAGCTATTTTAAACTTAATCTTCTCCTCAAATTCACAATTATATTGAGAAATACAAAAATAAAACTCTACAAGACAATAACACGCCCAGCCCTAACATATGGTTCATAGACCTGGACTCTAATAAAAAGCAATGAAAACATGTTAGGATGTTTCGAAAGAAAAGTACTAAGGCGAATCAATGGAGAAGTGATTGACAATGGAGTGTGGAGAAGACTATACAACTTCGAACTTTATGGAATATACCAGTAAAACATATTAAGATGGGACGTCTGAAGTGGATAGCGCATTTAATGTGGATGGAACTAAATGACTCAGCTAGAAAAACGCTCCTTGATAAATCCATTGGTCAGAGAAGAATAGGAAGACCCAGATCAAAGTTCCGTGATTACATCAATGAAGACATGATAAATAAGGAAATATGTGCTTGGCGGAGGAGGCGGTGAATAAGGACGACTGAAGAGAAATTCTTGAGGAGGCTAGAAGTTTAGAAAAATATTGATGTACATACTTCTGCATTAACTGAAAAGTATGTAATTTTACTTACTTTAGGTAATTTTTCCGGATCTCCGGGATGTCTGGGTATAAGTTTTTGTAGTCTTTGGAAGCCATAGTCAATTGTAGGTTCATTAAGAGCTGTAAAATAAAAAATCAATTGTTACTTTCTTGCTTTTAGCTATATAATAATAAATATAATATTAAAAATTTTCTTGGTATCTTGATTTTTCACGAATTAGCGGGTTTTTGCGACGTTACTCGCGGTATTGTTTTTGTTAACTAATCGTTATCACTAAAAGAAGTGAAGAGCACGTCTGTTGTCTATGCAAGTCAAGAATCAAGAGATATTTGCGGTATTTTATCGCATAGTTATCAGTGGTGTTCTGTTTTGAAACCAATATTAGAGAGAGAAAAGTATCTCCGTTCTTTACGGAAGCACCAAAAGCAGAGAACAAAGTTAAAAGCGTATTTCCGATACGACCACCACGATCAGAGAGCTAAACACAATCCATCTGTTGTCTATGCAAGTCAGCAGTCGAGATTTCGAAAATCTGTCTGTTTTTGTCCCGTAGAATAAATAGTTGCCCTCTCTCTTTCTTTCTTTCTCTTTCTTTCCGGTAGAATATATATTTGCCATCTCTTTCTCTCTCTCTCTCTGTCCGGTAGACAAAATATTCTGTTCTATGTTGAGACAAGACCTAATTCCATCATAGGCATACATCCTATGATATTAGAGCTATACTTCATTATAATCTCCCACTTACTTTCTGTCAATCACCTTTCATAGAGGGACTATTCTTTTTTTTTTTTTCAGTAATTGAAATTTATAAAAGATGGTTGGAATTATTATAAGGTTCATATTATCGTTTGCAGAATTTTCTTTTGGATGAGTACTTTCATTGTAATCTATATTCTATAATTCTAACAGCATTTTCAATATTCGTAACTTCACTTCTTTAAAGCCACGTTTTCAATTCTATGCATGTAGTAATCTAACAGAATTTAGATAATTTTAATAGTAATTCTATTTCACTTTATCCTTGCCACATGCTATTTGTTTAATTGTAATTTTGGTAAAATAATTATCAAGGACCCACAAGGAATCTACGTTCCTGTAGTTGGCTGTATACCATGTATTAAAAATTTTTAATTAAAAATCCTTTGTAATAGGTATATATTTTAGGCCCAAACGGGCTAAGTTAAAAAGACAAAACGTTTTCGGAAACCATGTTCCATCATCAGTGTCCTAGAAAATAGTTAACCACTTAATTAAAAAGAACATAGGTTAAAATTTTGACTAAGGTTAATGAAAAATGTGGTTAATACTTACTAGGAGTACATGAATGTAGCCACCAAGATTAAATATATGGGTAAAAACCCGATAACAGATGTTTAATTACATTTAGTTTTAAAATTATGTTATAATGATTTAAGATTATAGAGTTACCGATGGATTAGGTAACATGGCGACATATGACTCCACGTTGTCAAGGAAGTTAACTCCTTTTGATGTCTCTCTAAAGCTGTTCCTTATATTTTAGTTTATTGAAGATTTTATTGGCTTTATTGGAGAATTTATTGAAGATGTTACTGAATATTTTATGGAATATTTCTATATTCTATATGTTTATTGGAATAATATGAAATAACTGCAGCTGTCAGTAGGGCCTATCTACAGGCTCTGGAGGACCTAACTACCTAATAGGTCCTAAAAGTTTTGCGTTTGCTCGCAGTGTATCATTCGTCTGTACTTTGGTTTCAATTATTTTTAAGATTTTTTCTAAAGACACATTAGTGAATAGGCTGTTGATATCAAAACTGACTAGCATGTTGTTGAAATTTTAATCGAATTTCTAATTTTAATATATAATTTCTGCTAGTTTGGCAAAAAATATTGTTAGTATTTTAAAGTTCATGCATGTTTTTAAAAATATCGTTCAGGTTTCAAAGCGATCGTTAAAAATATCGCTGAAGTCGCGAAGTAAAAAGACCAACAGTCATAAATATTTCGGGCTGTTTCTATCATCAGACACAAGTTGTAATGTAGACAAAATGAAAAGTATCATTAATAAAGATTTAATGTATCAAATAGAAACAAATTTAATGCAATGATTTTCTATATGATTTACTTTGAAGGTCACAGCGTTGGGTACTTCCCCTGAAATACCTGTTATGTAAATATTTTGTAACTGATGAATTACAGGAAGAAGGAAAACACCAACAAGAATATTACTTGAAGAAGTAATATGGATTATATTTATACTTTAGTGTTCCCAATATTACCGCTTACAATATTTGATTAAACTTTTCAAAGTCTTTAGAGTTTATGGTGTATATGTTCCGTGTATAAAGATACTATTCAATTAATTATTTCTATATTAATATAAACAAATCGTATACTTACAAACATAAACAAATCGGCCAGGTGCTCCTTTACAAAACTGTTTTGATTTATAGGATAACGTTACTTCTACTACTCCAGGTATATGACGTGGCGGCGTTTGGACTCGTATTGCATGCGGTGTTATTAACTAAAATAGAAAATAGATTAATATATTAACTGCTGCATTAACCTATAATAATGTACTATTTAACTATTTTATGAAAATATATCGGACATGACCCTCTTATGCTAATCGCATTTGCTATTTTTTCTTAACAAAAAAAAAACGATATTCTGAAAAACGCAAGACATTATTAAAGAAATGATTGAAATATCACAACAACGAATATTCTTTAAAATGATAAAGACATACTAATACGTAATGTAAGGAGAGATTGCTGTAACAAGTCCAAAAACCCTTAACTGATGAAAGACTTGAACTATAAGATACAAAGAAAGATACTGAAGAAATATTTAATGCCACTAAAACATAAAAGATAGCAAAGCTAGCTACTGAAACATGCGCCGATCGAATTAATAAAATATTTTGATGAAAACCTGGTTTATGTAAGGATATACAACTCGTTAATACATACTACTCAGTATTTAAAGTGTACATTTTTATTCTTCGTAGTTTTATCCTAAACAATATGCCTACTTAATTGTATTCATTCCTAGTCGAAAAGCTAACAAGTCAACACCTCAGCTCCTTCCAATAGTATTTTTAATAAAAAACTTGTCAGTTACTGTGATTTGTTATAAAGTAATTATTGAAAGTGAAAAATTTTTTATGTATGTACTTTTGCAAGAAACTTTACTTTTTGATTCAAACACACTAATAGCCATTGCGTCTAGTTTTTATAAAATATTTTGGCATCCAGAATAGTTAAAAATGTTTCCTTAACCCACCGCTCCAAGCTACGTAGCTGTTATCATATCAAATACAACAAAACCTACACAGGCTACCACATCATATCCTAGAAGAAAGCAAGCGATAGTATTAAATGCTCTTTTGGATACAGCTCTCTTCGATTACATTAAGGCGATCGGTGAAATCTTAATATAAAAGCGTATTAACCACGCTTCCCGCATATACAACCAATGCACTTGCATCTTTCTTGCTTATATTTCTGACGTCGATATTCTGCTCAAAAACAATTTCACCGTTTCCGTTAAAAATGAAATTGTCCACATCCCCAGACTTATTTCCCTAAATTTCTTATTTCTAAAGGAAAACCCTATATAATTGTAGGAGACTCCAACGCCTCCTGTGGGGCTCCTCCCAGTTTATCATTTAGCAAAACTATTAGAAATTTCCTTATCAACCATTTTTTTAGCCCTGGTACCCAAAAAAAATTATTTTGTTTTATCTAATTTCTTAAGGCATTATTTGTAGATCCAAGCTATTACGGAGTAATAAGTTGTAAACTTTAGAGTTTTAAGTGCAACTTGGCTGTCTTCTTCTTTGTGATGTGCCTATGCGTGACGAATGTTGGCGATCACCATGGCAATTTTCATCTTGCCTGCAGCAGCGTGAAAAAGCTGCGGTTAACCAGGTTCTGATGTTTTTTAACCAAAATGTCCTTCTTCTTTCTGAACCTCTCTTTCCAAAAATTTTCCCGGATAACTTGTAAAAAGGCTTATCTGGATTCATTCCGCATTACTTTTAAGATTTTATGCTGGTCAGTACCCCTCTGTTCTTCTTCATTCTTGTGAGAAACTCCTCAGTTGTGACTCGGTCAGTCCACGGGATCTTAAGTATTCTCTGATATAGCTGCATCTCAAACTCTATCTTCGTTTAAGGTTAACGTTTCAATACTATAAAAAAGGACAGAGAAGACGTAGCATCGCAGCATTCATACCATTAGAGAGGTTGTAACTCTTAAAGAAGGTTAAATGTGGATTTAGCTTTTCCGATGCGCGCTCTTATCTCCTGGTTGTTGGTCCATTCTTCATTTATCTTCTTCGCGTTTATGGCGAGTCTATTGCTAACTGTAATACATGATTTTGTTCATAAGGACTTATTCATAAGATAGATCTTTTACGTTGCATGCAAAGACTATGGTGTCATCTGCATATCTAATGTTGTTTAGCCAGTACCTGTTTAGATACACCTGTTTAGGTGTTTATCCAAGACAAAGTAAAGCCTTGCCCTTACTTTAGATCTGTGCTATCTTGGGCAACAAATATTTTGGATATATTGGGGGGTTTTTCAGATATTATTAAGCAAACAAATGTTGTTATGCACATGTCTGTTAATATCTTCATTGATTGAGTAACCACATGCACAAAATTCGTGCATGTTTAATTAGGTTTTAGATGCTAAGCCTTTCTAAAGCGATCCTTCTTCCTTCTTCTTCAAATTCCACTCCTATCGGAGATTGGAAATCATTCTGGCAATTATAATTTTGTTGGTTACGCGCCTGAATAGTTTAATTAAACTGCATCCAAACCAATCACGGAGATTGCGTAGCCACGAGATTTTACGTCGTCCTACGCTTCTTCTACCTTTGATTTTACCTGCATAATTATCCTTAGTAGTTCGTATTTTTCACCTCTCATGATGTGCCCCAAGTATTGCAATTTCCTGATTTTTATGGAATTTAAAACTTCGCATATGTGCAGATCCTTTTTCCATATGTGTGTAAAAGGAGAAAGGTCTAGTATTATCCTTAATTCAGCAGTAGGAACGATGCCATTGGGTCCGCGTTGTCTACGAAAGAGAGACTTGATACTTTTAAAACTCTGTTATGTCGGTTTGTTGATTTTTTTTGTCTTAACAAACCAGTGAAACTTAAGAACACATACGCCTGACAACTGTTATATATGACCAAAAATCAATTTAGGTTACATACCCCTTTTGTTGTCGTAAGTTCTAGTACAAAGAATAACAGCATATCCAAAGAGCCCTTCCAGTACATCCAAGGAGAGTTGTTGCTTTAAGGATGATATTTACCAGGTGAACATTTCGTGTAAGTTTACTGTATAAATATTTATCTATCTGTCTAATCATTCTTTAACGCCCACTCTTGGGCATAGGCCTCTCCTGTTAATCTCTATTGGTCTCTATTTTGGCCGATCTGCATCCAGTCCTTTCCTGCCGTTCCCTTAAGGTCGTCAGTCCATCTCATTTGTGGTCTTCCTCTTTTTCTTTTCTTTTCCCATGGTCTCCAGTGTAAAATTCGCTTATTCCATCTTTCATATTTTTGCCAGAGAGTGTGACCGGCGAAGTTCCATTTAAGTTTTGCAACCTGTCTTGATACATCGTTCACCTTTGTTTTTTCTCTGATCCATGAGTTTCTTTTCCTGTCTTTAAGACCGATACCAGCATCTGTCTTTTCATTGCTCTTTGTGTTTTGGATATCCAGTCCATGTTCTCCTTTGTGAAAGTCCATATCTGTGAGCCATATGTGATAACTGGTAAACTGCACTGATTGAATACTTTCGTTCGCATATATTGAGGGAACTTTTTATTTTCTAGAATATATGATAGTTTACCAAATGAGGCCCATGCTAGTCTAGTTCTTCTTTTGATTTCTTCTGTTTGATTGTCCCTGTTCAGCTTTATTATCTGTCCTAGGTATATGTATTCTGCCACCTGCTCTAATTTATTCTGTTTGACTACTATTTCTAATTGGTCTTCTTGGTTTGTCATAGTCTTTATAGTTTATCTCTAGACCTACCTCTGTCGCTTTTCTATCTAGTTCCTCAACCATCTTCTGTAACTCTTCCTTCTTATCTGTTATCAGGACTATATCGTCTGCATATCTCAAGTGGTTCAAGAGCTCTCCATTTATTCTTATTCCGTATGTATCCCATTCTAATTTTTTAAATATGTCTTCTATAGCCTGATTAAACAATTTTGGTGATATTGTGTCTCCCTGCCTGATTTCTCCCTCTTTCGAATTTTATTGGTTCTGTAGCGTGTTCGTTCGTCAATTTTATTGTGGTACTCGCATTTTTGTATATGTTTGTTATTAGGTCCGTGTACCTGTAATCAATTCTGCCATTCTGTAGTGCGTTTTGATAGCCCAATATTCTATGCTGTCAAACGCCTTTCGGAAGTCTATGAATGCCATGTATAATAGGATTTCATACTCGTTCGACTTTTCAATCAGTATTTTTACTGTTAGCAGATGGTCGCTAGTACTAAAACCCTTTCTGAATCCCGCTTGTTCTCTTGCTTGGTAGACTTTATAAATATACCGTATTTTAAAAAAAATACATTTTTATGTTTTAAATATATGTGAAATTACAGGTTATAATAGAATATTTCATATTTATTTGAATATTAACAAAAGCCTCATTTAAATATACACTTTTCATCGTTCACAAAATAATTTTCAACATAAGTAAACATCTTAAATATTATTGATTTTCTGATAAATTGAAGTAAAAGAAAGAGTATATGTTTTTATTTTATATAAAGTATACTACTTTATACCGTTTGAACACTCTAACAGAATACCCTCAGTATATTCTTTAAATACTTTAGATTTAAATAGCTTTATACTTCTATTTGCCTATAAAAACTATCAAACAGAATACGCCCATTATTAAGGGTAAGAAAATAAAGCCATTATACGTCCCTATGAAATATTCCGAGTACGACGCCGTCATCCATCCGACCCTTCGAAAACCTCTTATATTTGGGACTCTCATTCTTTTTTATCTACTAGACATACATGGGTGTAACAAAGGAGATACGGAAAATATTACTAGGGATAAAAAATTATTCTAAAAAGAAAAGTTTAAAAACTAGTTAAAATATTGTAACAGTATATTATACAGAGTTGACATAAAGTCTGGAAACACCTAATTATCTATTAAAAGGATGACCAAATTGTAAAAAAAATACGCCTATTCTGCAATATGGAGATTTAAAATTTTATGCATGCACTGTTGCCAGATTTACCAGTTATATAATATCGTATCGTAAGTCACTTTTTTGTTTAATACAACACCCTGATTCAATGCCTGTTCTAGCGCATATGGTACATTAGAGTTAATGTAGCCAGGAACATCTTAAAAAGACCAAACAAATGCCTAGAAACGCCTAATGGTCTCAATAATTTTTTTTATTCAAACTATAATCAACTAAATTTGAACATCGCTAAAAGTTTATTCAAAATCAATTGTTTAAAATGTCCTTCGTTGTTAATTTAACAGTGTCCAAAATGGTGGTAGATTGCGTCTATTACATTTCTCCAAGTTTCTCTAGAAACTAATACGGTTTCATCGATAATTATTTGCTTAGGTCTGCAAAACTTGCTGGTTTAGTTTTATAAATTATACTTTTTGAGTATACCTCATAAAAATAATCGTTATAATTTAAATCAGGTGAACGAGGAGGCCTTTCAGTACTGCCGAACATGCAAATATCTGATTCAAATAATGCCGAACATTTTCACCAAAATAAGCTCGAATTTTTTGTTGCTGAAACCATAATATCTCATTAAACTGACTTAAAACTTATTTTTAAATTAAACTTGTTCTAGATTAAATATAAAATCTTATATCCTTGCGCAAGGATGACACGCAAAATCGTAAAGCGTTCCACATTTTTGAAAGAAAAGTATGCGCTAAGAGACCGCCAATAAGATTTTAGGACCAAAAGGTCCATTTAGGACCAAAAGGTCCACCATACATGCGGTTACAGTTAACAATGCCTTTAACATGACATTATGGGAAAAAATCATGCCCAGGCTGAGATAATTGGGAATTAGTGAGTACCTGTTTCAACGTAATTGACAGATACTCTACTGACAGGTCCATAAAGGAAAAAGATACCAGCATCAGTTTGTCGCAGGGTATTCCGCAGGGTTCAGTACTAGGTCCCACTTTGTGGAATGTCCTGTACGATGACAGGAAGTTAGAGCTACATATGCCAAGGTGATGCACTCTTATAAATTATGCCGATGATCTCGCACTGGTTGCGGAAACAAGTCAGAAAACGGACATTGCTAGTATGGCTAACATAACCCTGCGTATTAAAAAATGGATCAGAGAGAATAATCAACAGCTAGCACCTCCGAAAACTGTAGTGGTAGTTCTCAAAGGGAGCCGGGACAATTCCTCTCTTCATAGTGGGAGGTGTGGAGTTTTGTTTCACCGATTATATCGTTTAAGTATCTCGTAGTGTGGTTGTCGAAAGTACTGAGGTTCGGAGTACACATCCAAAAGACCACAGTAGAGAAATCTGGAGGTGTTAATATGGCTGATGCCAAACATTAAAGACCCAGATAGCACCAAAAGAAGAGTGCAAAATGGAGTTTTCCAGTCGGTGGTAACCAACACTGCCCCTGTGTGGTGTAGCACACAGAACACTGCGAAATACGCCAAGCTAATGAATACTTCGCACAGGCGAATGCTTTTCAGGGTATCTACCGTATACAGGACAATTTTAAATAAGGCTCTCATTATTTATGTCATTGGAGCGGTGATACCGATCGTTTTGTTCTGCAAAGAGCGAGCAAGGATGATGAATGGTAATATAGATGAGAATGAGAGTGAGAGAGAGAACAATAGAGGAGTGGTAGAGAAAATAAGCAAATGACGGCGGAAAAACAAGGTGGAAGAAGAAGCTTATTTCTGATCTTAGGTCGTAGTGGGAATGCAAGTTTAGGAAACTTGACTACTTCCTGACGCAGTTTCTAAACGGACATGGTAGTTTTGGCACCTTTAAAAATAGAATATGCGAATCTTCCTCGGCAGACTGTACTGATTGTGGGTATCAGACCTCTGCTAGTCCATAGATGGACAAATGAGAGAAGAGAATTCGAGAGGCGAATGGATTTTTGGCTAGATTAAAAAATCATTTTTTTAACCTATTCTCTATCCTTCTATTGTTGGATATAGGTCTCCCTCAGTTCTCTTCATCTTTCCCTATCTTGAGCTGTTCTCTGCCATGTGGGACCTCCTTGTTTCCTGATGTCATCTTTCCACCTCATCTGTGCCTCTGGATCTCTTTGCATTGTATGGACGCCACTTTCCGATGGCATTGTTTCATCGTCCGTCTTGGAGACGTTCATTGTGTCCAGCCCATTTCCATTTCAGTTTTGCTGCTTGTTCGATCGCGTCTATTGTCTTTGTTCTGGTTCTGATCCACTGGTTACATTTTCTATCTTTAAGTGATATACCCAACATTTTGTCTCTCCATCGCTGTTTGTGCCTTCCTTATCCTATCCAAATTGGCGTGTGTAAATGTCCATGTCTGTGCTCCGTAGGTGAGCACCGGTATTATACAGGAGTTATATATCTTGCTTCGTAAGTATAGAGGGATTAGCTGGTAGCTCTGATTGCTTGTCCTAGATAGATATACTCATTTACCTGTTTTATTTTTTCTGTTTGTATTTTTATTGCCTCTTGGTCTTTCGTGTTTGTCATTACTTTTGTTTTGTTGAAGGTAATTTTTAGGCCTTTTTGCAGTGATTTTTCATGAAGTTCATTCAGCATTAATTCCAGTTCTTGTCGTTCACAACTTGTTCACATCTTGTCTTGTCAAACACAATAACGAGAGGAGAGAAAGAATAAAGAGAAGAACAATGTCTGATTGCTGGGGTGATGGAGAAAACGAAGCAGTAGGACAAATGAGGAAATTGAAATAGGTTTCTGAAATCTTGTTTTTTTTTCTCGAGAACCAAGAACCGGTAAGTATCAAAATTAGTTTATAGCCTAATGAAAATATTTTCGTTTTTACTTGATATAATAGTTATTGTATTTTTAAAGTAACAGTTAATATAAGGATTTTAATTGTTCATTGAGTGGCAAGACCAATACTTTAGAACGGTGGTTAAAGTTTTAGCCAGAACACGGTTAATCAGTACAAAACACGGTTAATCAATACAAAAACAGAAATAATAATAAACGATCAAAGTGTAAATGTTGGGAAAAACCACAAAAACTAAAATGAGGTCAAAGCAGATATTAAAAGGCAAAGTGAAGCACACATATGTATAAAATGGTTTGACACGCAACCAAAAGACATAAAGTAAGTACAAGTAATAAAAAAAGATAAATTTAATAATTATAGAATGTATGCAAAATTTGTAACAATTTTTATTAACTTATTGGAAGTTATTTTTAGTAACAATGTATTGCTACACCCCTGAACCAATATAAGATCTTACCTCACTCCAAACGAGCATAGTGCCAAAAACGACTTGTAGTCCATCAAAGAAGTTATCTCCCACTATAATAACTGTCGATCCTCCCGCCGTCCATCCTTCGCTGGGACTGATGGCCTTTATGCAGGGGGTAGCTACTGGAAGGGGTGGGTACAGTCCTGGAAATTGGCCTGTGCACATCATATTGATGTAACCTTATTATTTGAGAAAAACAATGCTTGTATTGATTAGAAATTAGATAGCTTAACGTTTTTTGTTTAATACTATATTCTTAAAGTTGTGACTTCTTGGTCAATGTTTGAAAAATTGAAAATCAAAGTAATAATCGATTTTTACGAAATTTTAACTTTTATTATTAGTTTTTCTTAAAACAATCTTCAAATAAGTACAAATCATAAAAATCTTAAGTGAATCATTTAATAAAACTTTTCGGCAACGTACAAAGAGCATTTCAGGGACAGATTATTAAATTACAGATTAATATATCGCTGCCTATAAAGATTATTGTTGTTTCTCGATAGTTACCAATATCTTATCTTCAAACTTAACAGCACATTGAAGAAACTAAGCAATGCTATGTACCAAAGATAATATCACAATCGATTTTAAGAACTTATACCTGGATAATTGAAAAAAAAAAAAAATTCGAAACCGAAAAAACCGAAATTTAAAATCTTATTTTTTAATTGAAATGAGGTTGAATGCTCGAATAAATGAAGTATATTAGTATATCAGTATATTATCCCTCCAGATACTGACAAAGAGTGTAGCGTAGAATCTTTTAAGTAATTTTAAACTGTTTGTCCTCGTTTTAGTGTAGTGTTTTGTACAATTTTATGTCATTATTTAAGTTTTCTACATTCTACGCTTGCCGGATAGTTTATGTTTGACGAAATGCCCCTGAAGATGCTATTTTAAGCGAAAGTACTTGGGCTAGATTTAATTAACTTGTGCTCGATAATAGCCGTATCTTTCAAAGTTCTTATTTTTTAATCCTATATTTCAAAACTAATGTGAAAGTAATTATATTTTAATTAATATCGATCTAAAACTAGTTTATAATTACCTAACTGTATTTAAAATCCAATTAATAACTGGAATATTTTTAAAATATATCACAGATGTGTATGAATACAATTGTTATGATATTAAACTTTACTTTGTGAAAAATAGTAAGAACAAGAAACGTCAAACCAAAATATATCTTTATAAGCACTACAAAAACGTTTGTCTTAACAAAAACAAGAAATATTTTCATTTAAATTTTATAGTACACATTTTAAAATAAGGTAAACGAAACAAAGAATAAATTTTACACATTTTGTGTGACATTTTGTAAGTTTGGGCAGTCTTATTTCAGTATTATATTCAGTAAGTTATTACTGAAATTCCTTTACATAGCGCAAAAGTCAGTGTATGGTGTGCAGTTTCGGGACACGGAATCATTGGTCCATATTTTATCGAAGAAAATGGTAGGCAAGTTACACTTAATCAACAGAGGTACTTATACATGCTTTATCCCTGATCTTCGTAAATTTTGTCGGCTCATTATTTTGGCATTTCGAGACCAATTTTTCCAGCAGGATGGGGCAACTTGTCATACTGATGTCGCTGTTCGTCAATTTCTTCGGGGATATTTTTCAAACAAATTCATTTCTCGATTTACTGACTTCCCCTATCCTGCACATTCTCCAGTTTTGAAACGGGCACCACAACCCATCAATGTGTTAAAGGATGCGGTTAGAGCCTTCTTCGCGGACTTGAATCAACATTTATTTCATAACATTACGAGAAATCTGGAATATCGCTATGAAGTCTGCGTTGAGAGAGGAGGATTTCTTGTAGAACATATGAATACGTATTTTTTAAAACAATAATATAATTACAAGTTCAGTACTGTTGATTTTGGGCTATACTGTGTATTAAACAAAAGAGGATGTATATTAGCCAACCTTAATTACATTTGATTGAATAAGTAGAATTATGTTGTATCTCCTGTTTTGCAATTCTAGAGAATTTTAATAATATTTAACATTTTGTATGTTTATTCTCGAAATTTTTACTAATAAACACTAAAAATCAATTATTTAAAGAATTTCTATTAGGTGAAACAGCGTAAAACAAAGTTTCAAATACGATAAAGTTGAGTGCCATTAGTTACCAGCTCGTCATTCGATAAATCAAGCGTTTCCAGCAAATTTCATCAAGTTGGCGGCGTATAAAATGGCAACGCGAGTCTAATTCACGGCAAACTCGATTCCACAAATTTCCAAGTCGAAATCTAAGGATGAAACAACGTAGAATATTAACGGAGTGAAGTAGGCAAAGTAGGACGTGTTTCAGTTGTTTTCCGGCACAAAGAACGTCCAGGCCCGTATTAGAATTACAAGTAATAAGTAATGGAAAAATTATTTTCATGACATGTAATTGATTACAATTAATATTATCTACAAATATATAATATACGTGTTAATCTGACTTCAAGATTTATATTTTCTATTTAGAATTCTTTCATCTCATCTTCCTAAATTTCTCAAAATTAAGATAAAATTATGAAACTATAATAATTTAGGAAAATAACAGACTAAAAGTTCTAAGTAGAAAGAAAAGTAAAACAAGTAAAATGAAATATTCAGAGTTAATACAGGTCGTCGAAAAGTTTTACAAGGAATTATATATGGAAGTAGACGAGAAGATCAAACATAATTACAAACAGCCATTTCAAAGAAAATTGTGAATCGAGATTTCGAACTTATGCCAGAGATGAAGGTAGATGAGATTTGACAAGTATGTAGAAAAATTAAAAATAACAAAGCCCCAGGAGAGGATGGAATTGTAATATAAGCTATAAATATATTAAGGTAATTGTTTAATCTATGTTTGCAGTAAAGAGAGGTGTCCAAAGAATGGAACAATGCTATAACCATCCATTTGTATACAAAAAGGAGATGAAACAGACCTAAAAAATTATAAACATATTAGCCTGTTGAAGCACATACACAAGCTCTTCACTGGGTTAGTGACATCAAGATTAAAGAAAAATTAGATTTCTACCAACCGAGAGAGCAGGCAAGATTCTGTTCAAATTATGGTACCAATGATCACCACTTCTATACAGCAAACACATTTATTGAAAAATCTATAGAATACAACAAACCTCTTGTCCCCACTTTCATAGATTTTCATAAAGCGTTCAACACGATCGAAATAGACAGCCTTATAGAAGCAATTAATGACAGCATCATTGACCATAGGTATATTTAACTGATTTACAATATGACTGTTAAGATACACGATAAAACCCGACCAATAAAAATAATACGTGGCATAAGACAAGAGGGTACATTGTCACCGAAATTGTTCATAAAGACATTAGAGTATGCCTTTAATCACATCTCCATAGAAAAAACAGACAAGGAGACTAGCAAAAGGGCACTTCACAGAGTCTACATAATTAATGAACATATAGATACATACGAGATGTCATAGGATACTATGAATAAACATAGTTTAATTAATAGACAAAAGCTAATTAATTTTTGGGATGGGACTTAGTACTTTGGTTCGAAATATTTGTGTTCATCGGAAAATAATACACTTTTGAAAGCTTTAACTTACAACCAATAAAATTTTGAGAGGAATTATGTATAATTAACACTTGAATGGAGTGGTTTAAAAGAAAACGTATTCGTTTATGAAATACTATAGCCCCAAACATAATTTATTACGAAAAAGTTCTTTTAAGAACAAGGATATTCTACATACTTATACATAATCGAAGCAATACTAATTAATATTCTCTTTAAATATAGTTTTAAAAATACAGGTAAGTAATAGAAAAATGTAGCATGACGTAATTTGATAAGTTCTAAATTGTATGCGTTTATTTAACCAAGTACGGCGCTGCACTCAAACTTGTTTTTCTGTTTCAAAAAAATAACTGTGAAAAAAATGAAAAATACCGAAATTGCATTTAAGAGTGACGACGAATAAATTGGACAAAAGTTTAAAAAATACGTTACAGATCTTAGTAAAGATCTTTGTAACATAATAAAGAAGTCCACAAAATGTCTTTAAGATCGATTTAATACATTTTGTATAATAATGTTGTAATCTAAATTTTTTAAAACCTTCTAAAACAAAAACTACACCATACAGAAGTTTGCCAATTATTTTAGTTATGAAAAAGGACTTTCTCTATCTTTATAGAATTTAAATCGGATTATTTTGGCGACCCTTTTGGGAATGCCTTAAAATAATAAACAATTATTTGTCTTATAAACAAATAGAATACGCCAGTAACTATTTTTTAAGTTAAATTTAAAAAACGGCGTTGGAAAAGACTTGACAAAAAGCTTCTTTTAAAATAAAGAAAATGAATTATGAGCCGTGGATCCTGAGACACAACCGGTCAAAGTTGACCGGCATTTGGGACGAAGGTATAAACAATTGGATGATAATGTTTAAACCATTACCTTTTTCTATCAGAGCTCTTCCTTGATTATAATTTTAATATCTGTAACATATTTATAAGATATATTATAATAATAAAAACTGTCGGTATTTTGCGCGAAAAATAGCAAAAAAATTAGGTTCAGGAATATTAAATTTCAAAATCAATGTAAGTAAAAAAAAATGTATTTTCTTAGATTCCAATCAATAAATTTCCTTCAGCTTTTTTAATCTGTTGTAACTCGAGTAGAAATAAAACGAGAATCATGATAATTGACAGAGCTAACAACAATCAAAATCATCTGGTCATGATAGACAATATCGCTGTTGTAGATAAATTTGTGTATCTGGGCTCATTAATAACCAACAAAGGAGGCTGTACTGAAGAAATAAAGCGGCGGTCAGCAATAGCAAAAAGCGCTATGGCAAAATTAACAAAAAATTGAAAAAGCCATGAAATAACTACCGATACAAAAATGAGACTAGTAAGTAGTCTAGTTTTTCCAGTTTTTACTTATGCATCGGAATACTGGACCCTTACTGAGAAAGACAAAAAGAACATAGATGTATTTGAGATGTACTGCTGGAGACGAATGATAAGAATACCATGGGTGGCCCGAAGAACAAATGAATCTATACTGGACCAGCTAAACATAAAGAAAAGACTAAGAACACAAATATCAGAACAAATAATAAGCTATTTTGG